ACCAATCCATACTGATAATCACGTCCAAACCGTTCATAGGAATCCGGATCAAATTGAGAGTAGGCAAATGATTTTCAAACCTCTCTTCTACATTCAAACATGCTTTACTAGTCATATTAGATGACCCAGATGGCATAGACACTTTAATCACATAAGGCAATTCATGCAAAGGAAGTACTAACCTCTCTACACATTCATATAAAATAAACAAAAGTGTAGCACCAGAATCAAACAATACTTCAATTTTCTGCTCACAGATAAAAATAATACCTTTTATCAAATTCAATGACACTCTTGCCTCCTCCTGAGATAGTGTGTAGACTCATCCTGAAATGGTAGATCTCTGCTCTGCCATCTCCACTCTTCCTTCAGGGCATTGTCTTGCTAGATGGCCAAGTTTCCCACATTTAAAACATGCCTAGCACCTCCCAGGATGTGATTGCCCATACTTAGCACATGGTGGTGGTTGAGCTGTACTCAAGGTCGGGGCAGGCATATTAGAAGCCTGCTAGGATGGTTGTGGAACATCAGAACTCCTAAATCCACTATAAATAAGTAACATAATCAAGTATATAAGATCACCACATCATATAACAAGCTAAGTTATAAACAAGTATTAAAATAAATAACATAATCACATCATATAAGATCACCACAAATTGCATGCCTAATCCCTAACCATCTAGTCTTCTAATGCTCCTGACCGAACTAGTAGGCTATTTCATAGAACCAAACCACATGTATGATCCCCAAGCTCACCATCCATGGTAGGACTACCCAGCCAAGGTGTCTTAAACCACTTATGGACTTTTAGTTCCCCCTATTATAAGTAATTGGGGTGTCGTTACTCCAGCACCGCATCCTACAGATGCTAAGGAGCATAGTCTCCAACTCCGCACCCTTTTAGGTACTAAAGAGAGTAAGTCTCTAACGCCACACCCATTTTCAGGCACTAAAGACAGCAAGTGATGTACCTGGCATCTTGAGGTACCAACAATGCCATATGGACTTAATCTTCACTATCTCCACTAGGGTGACCTCCCACCCTCATATATCATTCATTTTCACTATATATCTTCACTTGACCATGCATAAACAACTTTCTAAACAAATATAACAAAATCTTGCCATTTACTTCAAAAATATAGAATTTTAAAAAGCAATACTCCATTCATTTTCTAAAATAGTTAACCTTTAAAGAATTTATACATATATACTCAACAATTCATAGAAAAGCAACTTGAGAATAACTTATACAAGATAATAAATAATGCAAATTATCTAGTTACCTCAACCCTTTTGTTACTAAAAGGGTTACCTGTGGTACTAAATTTCTTCTTGTGTCAAGGTAAGTCTTCCCACACCACAATCTACATCAATAAGTACTATATGCTAATTTTCAATTAACACAAGCACCATTAGCTAATAATAACCTCCCAATTCTCCCACTTCTCACTCAAATTCTCAACAAATAGGCTTGCCAAGATTATAATTTATTCACACAATCCCTTTAAGCCTTCCTCTGCTTCATCACAATATCAAACTTAATATCTCAACTTATCACACTTCAACACCCTATAATCAAGTTAGGGCTTGATCTAAAATTCACCAAACAAGAAATTAGCTTTCTATTACCATATATCCAAGATTAATAAACCTAAATTAAAGCTTTAAAGTCAATAGAAACCTTTAAAACATTGAATTATGGCTTAATCCAATCAGACCAAATTCTCACTTCTCTAAATCCCATGGAGAATGAGATAAAAAGATAGAGGAGAAGGGTAGGAGACTTACTTAAAAGTTTGAAGGCTCAATTTGTCTTCAAAATCCTCCCAAATTGATACCCTAGTAGTGCCCAAAGTTTTCCCCTTCATGTTCTAGGTTTTCCACCCCAGAATCTATTAATTTTTGATGATTTTTGAAATTTTATGTTGCCTGCTGTGCTGTGCGCTGCAAAAGTTGTAGCTCATAACGCAGCAAGCAACAAGTAGATTTTGCTCCCCTCGATACCTCCCGACTTTCATCCTAACACTACTACAAAAAAGAGAATAAGTGACTGTTATTTTAATCTATAAATGACGATTAATACATGTCATTTATTTGGCTGACATTTAAAGACCCCCAATAAATGACGGTTATAAAACCATCATTTAAAATAAAATTTTTATGAAAGGAGAAGCAAATTGAGAATTTAAATGATTGGTAAATATATGGTCATAATTTTTACCATACTTTAAATGACGGGTAAATTATATACCCATCATTTAACGTAATTATAAATGACGGTATATAACTTACCCGTCATTTAAAGTCTCTTTAAATTACGGGTAAGTTATATACCCGTTATTTATACTTCATTTAAATGATGGGTAAATGATATACCCATCATTTAAATAAAGTATGAATGACGGGTATATAACTTACCCGTCATTTAAAGAGACTTTAAATGACGGGTAAATGATATACCCGTCATTTAAATGAAGTATAAATGACGGGTATATAACTTACCTGTCATTTAAAGTGATGGGTATATAACTTACCTGTCATTTAAAGAGACTTTAAATGACAGTAAGTTATATACCCATCATTTATAATTACTTTAAATGACGGGTATATAATTTACCCGTCATTTAAAGTATGGTAAAAATTATGACCATATTTTAAATGACGGGTAAATGAGATACCCATCATTTAAAGTCAGTATAAATGACAGGCATTTTTTTTACCCGTCATTTATTTCAGTATAAATGACAGTTATTTATATAACCGTTATTTTTTAGGTGGGTTTTTTTTAATTCCTGAGCTATTTTTATACCAACCCCCTGCAAAAAGAAATCAAAATAGCAGCAGTCAACCATTCCAGATTTGAATATCAATAAAATTTATTGTATTCAATTTCAAAATTAATCAATAAACAAATGTAATTAATAAAGTAAACTTTTCCCAAAAATAAACTACTTATTAAAAAAAACTTTCTAGCTACTTCTTCAAGGTAGTTCTATTAATCTTCTTTATATGAGGTCCACACTTGAAAAATATATTGACATCATTCTTCAATTACCTCATTTATTTCTGCATCCCTGAATTCTTCAACATAAGAATCATCATAATACTGCAATATATAAATGATTCAACATATATTAATATAATTTTAATACATTAAATATTTTTGTAATTTAAAAGTTAATATTTTTGACATACCATTTTGGGAATTATGCTCTCGTTATGGATAATGATGTCTTTCACAAACCTCATGATGCAATAGCCACAATCCAAGCTATTTTTCTTTTGTCTTGGATACTAAAAATTAAAGAATATATGAATATGTATTAATGCATTAAATTTCAATTTAATAAATGATTCCAATTACCTTAATTATATTCCAAGTGTAGGTTGCATCAAAATTTATAAAGGACCTTAGAATTGATTATTTTGTGTTAGTGCGGTATAACACAATCACCCTAATGAAACAATAAAAAATATGTTCGTATGAAATTTAAATAATTAAATAACTATGTAAAATACTTTGTGCACTTACGTATTAATCAACTCCAATAAAATTTATCTCCTCCCTGGTTCCCCTCCAAGAGAATCGAGATAATATATCTTTAGAGTGTTGCCAAATGGTTCGACGGCAATCAACATCCAATGGTCTCTAATAGTATTAACAAGTATGGCAAAATTATAATTAATCTATTAAATTAAAAATAAAAAATTATTAAGATAAGTGAGAATTTTGTTACCCTTGACAGTATGGTATTATGAATAATGTTCCCTTTCGAGCCTTGCTTTGAAATTTTCGCTCAATGCCTTTGCTTGTTCTAAAATTTTGTCACTTTTAATTACGGCATGTGCACCCACTTCATGAGGACTAACAAAGACGAACTTCATTTGTAGATTGAAAGGGACAACAAATTTGTCATACAAGCACCTATTATAAATACAAGAAATGTTAAAGCACTTCATCAACAACATCAAGTGAAAGCATATCATATCAGTCTTCACCATATATACCAACCTCGAACAAGATTTATAGGACTGGAGGATTAGACCTATGTACCGTTGCATATGCTTGGAGCAAATTTCTATGTTGGCTTGGTAATTGAGGCTCTTGTTTAGGCACAGCTTTATGGGAGACTACCTTTTTAAAGGAGAGCCTAGATCGGGGTATCATCTTTTTTTTTGACTGTGCATCCTTGCTAGTCTTTTTTGGACTTAGCATTCTAACTTGACTAGCTTGCCATCCAACAAAACTACCCATCGCCTCTCTAACAATCCTTACATCCTTAGTAGGAATAAGTAGCTGATAGTTCAAATCCTTCAGCACATCAATAGCAACATGTACATAGAACATAGGGAGTGGCATATCATGTAACATGTCTCCTGGCAAATTGAACACCCGACCAATAGCAACCACATGATGATTTGGGCTATTTGCCAACAACTCACATAGGTTCTCACCCTATATTAATAAGTAATATACTATATTAAAGTTATGGGAAATAGAAATAGTGAAATATAAGTGAAATAAATTAATAATGTTTTACCTCAGGGAGATTTTTAATAGGCTGCATGACACTGTAACTACCTTCCTGCTAGGACTAATATGAAACTCTGCCTCCCGCCTTTCCTTGTCCTTTAGCAAAGCTTCAATCATGTCCCGTTACCTAGATAGCTCCTCTTTCAAGGTGGCAATCTCAGCCCTTGCACCCATATCCTCTGTTGACCTTGCTTTCTTCTGTGACCCAAATATTTGTTTTTTCGAGACACCAAAGTCATATCCCCTAACTCGACCAGGGTATTCGGGATTACCCAACACCTTGCCCAAGACATCATTATCAGGCATGCCACTTTTCTCGATCTCAGCCTATGCAATATATATTAAGAAAATTAAATTAGTTGATTGAGTATAAAAAAGTGTTAAGTTAAGTTAATGTATTTACACACTTGTCAGCAATCTCCTGAACACGTTCATCAATAATGTTTCCTTCTTTATTGGTTCAGCCTTCTATGAATAGTCTGTGACGTGAAACTGAGCTTGCCCCTGAACCCTCTCGCTCGATCTATGAATTTAAGTAAATTTAAATGTGAGTATAGTACATATATCCATGAAATAAGCTAAAATTATATAGTATAAATATTAACTTACCATTTGTTGCTCAATTCTTGCATATCCTATGCGCCCCTTCTTGTAAGGGGATAGATCTTTCTCATGCAACTCTTTCTTTTTGTGGCTCAACTCCTGTGCAAAACACAAAAAATCATATCAATAAAATTAAATATATTGACAATAATAAAAAATTAATTCATCTCATTATTCTTACTTGAAATTGTCCCTCGAGACTTTGAGCAACAAATTCATCCCACTGTTCTTGTGAAACTAATGGCCTTATCAAGTTGGGGGCCTCAGAAATAATGTTTCCTCCTGATTTTTTAATGTATTTTGCTCCCACGAAATATCAAAATTGTCCGCATTGCCTTTCCAGCTTGTTGGATGACAAATTTGATCTGACTAGCATCAATTGCAAATGCTGACTATAAACAAAAACAATTAATTAGATTTTCAGTCAAGTAATTTCAATTAATTACAACAATGTGAGTAAAGTATTTTACCTCTACTTGCTCCCAAATATAATTTTTAGTAGCTAGACTAACATCATTCTAGTGCCTAATTGTAATCGACACATTTGCTTTTGCCACAACCCCTATGTAGCTAATGAATTTATTTCTGTTGGTCTTAATAGGTTGACCTTTGAAATTCCATTCAACTTTATATTTCTGTCCAGCAGCCCTTCTTCTATGCACCTTGGTCATCAATGTCAATCCTCTAGTTATTTGATTGGCTTCTTGCTAAATTTGTTGGTCATTCATCTCAACACTAGGATCAGCACTACTAGGTCCACTGAGACCAGCACTCCTTTGAGAAGCCATTTACCTACAAAAGTAGAAAATCAAAATAAATAATAAATAACAATATAAAAAAATAAAGCACATAATAAGTAATTTTCAGGTTTAATGTAAATCACACATTACAAAACAAATATAGCACATAATAAATAATAATAAATTTTTAAATCACATAAAACAAGTAACCTACAAGTTTAAATTATTTTTTTTTTCTTTTTCTTCTACATTCCTTATCTTTTCTCTCTTTCTTTGCTCGAATGCTTCTACCTCTTTTCTTTGAAATCCAAATACCTTCATTGTGATCATTCTTTATATAAAAGGCTTCATCCTCAACAAAGTAACTTTCAAATGATATCCCTATAAAGGGATCATCTTCAACTATAGAATCCTTCATATCTTCATTTATTTTACTGCTCAATAAAACGATAGACCAATTTACTTTAGTTGAATCAGGAATAAAGAACACTTGGTAAGCTTGTGAAGCCAAAATAAAAGGCTCATTTTTATAACCTTCTCTATTAAGATCCACCATTAAGAACCCCAAGTCATCAACTTTAAGACCATTTTTTTGATCAACCCACTTACAACCAAAAATTGAAACTTGAAATTTGATGTAATCTAACTCCCAAATGTACTCAATTACCCCAAAGTATGACATTTTTGTGTACAAGGGATTTTTGTCTTTAGCACTAGATATATGCATTGCTTGGGCTATAAGAGTTACACCACTATTTTGCATTATACTCTGATCATCTTGCTCTTTAGTATAAAATGTGTACCCATTAATAAGATAGCTAGTGAAGGAAAGAACTTGTTTATCTGGACCTCTTGCCAACCATTTTAATTTTTCAGAAACTGAATTAAGATCGGCAGTCAACTTCTCAAGAATGTGTTATTTCAACCAAACTGTAAAACTCTTATTATGCTTGTTTGCATACCAAATCTCCGATCTATTAGGGTTATCTCACTTAAGCTCGGCCATATGCATTTCTACATACTCCTCAACCTCGACAGAGTTGTGTAGTACATATAAATGTGCTTGTTCCCATTGCAAGTTGGAGATTGTAACTACTTTATTGCCCATAATTCCTTCTCCATCAATTCTACTATCATACCTAGAAGTCAGAAGACCAATATGGTTGACATTTGATAAGTACTCAGTAAAAAATTCAACTGCCTCCTCACAAATGTATCATTCAACTATACAACCTTCGGGTCGACTCTAATTTTTCACATATCCTTTTAGTATCTTCATGTAACGCTCAAATGGATATATCCATCTCAAGAAAACTAGACCACACATTTGTATCTCTCTAACTAGATGAATAGTGAGATGCACCATTATATCGAAGAATGCAGGTAAAAAATACATTTCAAGTTCACACAAGATTAACACAATTCGGCTTTGCAATCTTGGCAATTTTGTTGGGTCAATCACTTTACTACATATAGACTTGAAGAAGAAACACAATTTGTAATTATGGTTGAACCATATCAGGTAAAATAGAACGTAATGGCAATCATATGACTTTAAACCCTTCAACTTCAAATCCTTCAATGACACAAGGCCCTTAATATTTGAAGAGTACCCCTCTGGAACTTTAACAGTAGCAAGCGACTCACAAAAAATCTTCTTTTCTCTTCCAGACAATGTATGAGCCGCTGCATGAAGAAATGTGTGACTTCCCTTCTCTTACGGAGCCAACTCTTCCCTTATCCCCATAGAAATCATATCAAGTCTTGCCTTGATGCCATCTTTAGTCTTTCTTGGAATATGAAGTAATGTACCAATCAAACTATCACACATATTTTTCTCAATGTGCATCACATCAAGAAAATGTCTCACATATAAAGATTGCCAATATGGTAGGTCAAAAAAAATAGACCTTTTCTTCGACCCACATGTCCCAAGATGCTTTGCAAAAGGTCTGCCAAACTCGATATTCAAATTCTTCACCTTATCAAAATGTTGCTCACCTATTAGTGGCAAAGGTGCCTTACTTTCTTCTGAATTCCCATTGATAGCTTTTTTTAGGCGTCGATAATAATGGTCAGGATGTAACCATCTACGATGTCTAAAATAGACATTCTTCATCCCATGTTTTAATCTCACTGAATGTGTGCCATGTTCACAAATAGGACATCTAAGTTTTTCTTTGATACTATACCCTAATAAATTACCATATGCTGGAAAATCATTGATTGTACCAAACAACAATGCTCTTACCTCAACACCGTGCTCCCACAACAATTTTAAATCTTCAATTAAAGGAGCCAAATATATGTCTATGTCATTTCCCGGCTGTTTTGGCCCCGGAATTAGAATGGATAGCATCATATATTTTCGCTTTATATATAACCATAGAGGTAAGTTGTAAATTACCAAAATAACTGGCCATCTACTGTGACTACTACTTTGAAGTCCGTGTGGATTCATTCTATTAGTAGATAATACAAGGCGAAGGTTTCTATCTTCTGCTCTAAAGTCAGGGTAATCGAGATCAATTTTTTTCCATTGAGAAGAGTCAGCTGGATGTTGAAGCTTTCCATCTTTAATCCGTTTATCTGCATGCCATGTCAAATTTTTTGCATCCTCTGTACTACTGTACAGCCGTCTAAATCTAGGTATAATGGGAAAGTACCATAATGCCTTCTTTGGACTCTTCCTATTGTCTTTATAGCTCAAGGCATTACATTTTGGACACTTTATTAATGATGCATATTCATTTCTAAATAATATGCAATCATTAGGACAAGCATGTATTTTCTCATAACTCATGCCAATTGAGCGTAGCATTTGTTTTACCTCATACATAGTCCTTGGAAGCTCGTTGTTCGTAGGTAAAAGTTGTTTTATAAGTGTAAGATTTTCTGTAAAGCTCTTATCACTCTATCCATTGCTCACTTTCAAGTTGTACAATTTCAATACTGCTGACAACTTTGTGAATTTAGTACAACCAACATATAAGGGCTTCTCTGCATTACTTTTCAACATCTCTAACATTTCAAGACAATCCTTAAGTTCCCTTTCAATTGCATTGGCCATCTCTTCAAAACAGTCACCCTTATAAGTATCTGTGTCATGATTGTCTAATTCAAAGCTTCCTTTATACTCCCAATTACTAGTAGACTCATCCCCTCTAGTCTCTCCATGCTTATGCCAAGATTTGTAATTTTCATCAATTTCATAGCACACTAAATGGTCTTCCATCTCATATGTACTAATTTGCTTCAAAAGAGCACATCTTACACAAGGCCACACTATTCTTCTAAGGTCTTTTACATGCTCGAAAGCAAACTTCATGAACTTTTTCACACCATTCAAATACTCTTTACTTGATCGATTAGAAGACATCCATTCTCTATCCATAACTTTATAATCTAAAAGATAATTCATTCAGGGAAATGTGATTAGTGACTCATGAATATGGAGAGGAAAGGAATGATAGAAAGATTATCAATAAAGAAATTGGCTACTCTACATATAATATATAGTAATTAATAAATCATGAGTCACAATGCATGAGCATTCACATACACTTTCAACCGCCGATAAAAAATTTGGTAGTATAACAACATAAAGAAAGTATTTCTCAAGCTAAAACCCTCTTTTCATTCTTGGCATCTTACTCAACAAACTGATTCCAACTATATACAATCACAAAACCAACAAAATTCTCACAAAATAGCATTTTCAAATTAACTCTAATTATTATAAAATTATATATAAAATTCGTTCAAAATTCATAGAAAAAGGAAAAACACTATAAACATCATTTTGAATTAATGTTTTTTGTCTCATTGATCATTCTAAGATTACACATATCCTATATTAGCAATCCCAAGCCAAGAACAAATCATTCTTTACCAAATGTAAAAATATCAATAGCAATGATTTTTATAGAAACCGCGTGTCAGTTTTCGTCACTAAAATGAGCTCCAATTGTAATCAAAATTGGTACACTAGTACATTTCAATATATAGTTTTGAACAACAAAACTACTTTGATCAAACAATGCACGAAATTTAAATGAAAAATTATTGAAATAAATCAGTTAAAATTCGTAGAAAAATACAATCATCACAAATATCCCATTTTGATCACTAATTTTCATCTTAATAATCATCCTAAGGCAAAGCAAATCATCTACAATCATTCTCAAGTCAATAAAACATCAAACATTAGCAATTTTCAACACCCCACAATATTAAAATGGGCAAAAAATGAGGAGATATTTAAATGACAAAAATCAACAAATAAAACAATCCATAATCTTAAATAAATCAATCCCATAATCTAGAAATCTAAGCATATAGGAAGAAAATGAAGAAAAACTATAGAAATCAAAAACCTATGTACCTTAGAGAAGAGAGGATGAAAGACAAAGAGGAAGCCAATGAGAGAGGAATCGGACGGTGTAAGAGGAGCACTTTCACACCGGCGAGGGACTAAGGTGGTTGACGGCAACAATGGAGGCTGATTGAGAGATTTCTATCAATTTTTTGAAGAAGAGGAGAAGAGAGAAAATAGGGACGACAAACGGGTGGGAATGAAAAAGTGAATCTCGAAACTGAATAAAAACAAGAATAAATGATGGGTATTCATATTCCCATCATTTATTCAGTAATATATGACGGGTGTTTTAACACCCATCATATATAAGAAAGGCTTTAAATGACAGTTGTTTAAAACAACCGTCATTTAAAGCCTAAAATTCTTTTATTTTTTTTAATTAAGGAAAATCAAACGTTGGCCACTAATAAATGATGGGTGTTTGAAAAAACCGTCATATATAGTTCTGGACTTTAAATGACGGGTGTTTTAAACACTCATCATTTAAAGTTTTAAAAATTTTTATTTTTTTTATTTTAAGAATCTGAAACGGCGGGCATCAATGGATGACAGT